ACATAAACAACAGAGTCCTCACAGAAATCCAAAGCTATGGGAACTGATCCATTATATTGATTTCAACACAACTTTCAGTAAGATTTTTTGAGAAAGAGGTTGAGTACCCATTTATATTTTTTATTATAGTGTGTTGCTACAGAGTTCATTTTAGTGTGTGATTACCATGCTGTCTTCCGTTAGTTACTCGGCCTAATTTACATATTAGGATGTATAAAGGAGGCTTGGAGCTGTAGTTCAGTTTTTTTAAGAGCACTAATTGCTCTTACAGAGGCCCCGGGTTTAATTCTTTATACCCACATGGTGGCTCATAACTGTCCGTAATTCCAGTTCCTTAGAATCCAAGGCCCTCTTCTGGCAGCAGACACACATGAAGTTCACAGGCATACATGCAGTCAAAACACCCATACACATCAAAACAAAATTAAAAATACCTGATAAATATGGATCCATATAATAAAATGTAGTACATAGAGGATTAGGAGTTGTGCATGCCTTCAGGCCTATTGGATATTGGAGCCTATTTTCTGTAGATGAAGGAATGACTATATACCGAAAAATATAAAGTTTAATTGGTGACTATTAATATGCACCAAAAGGCTGGATAGACAGCAAATGGCACTGGCTCACGAAGGTTCTAATGTCCTACATGGATCAGTACCCTGAGACCATTTCAGCAGCTGGTCAGACCCTACTCTGGTCTACTCTTGAATTCATTGCTGAATGGTAGCAAGACCCTGTTGGAAGAGGGGTTTTTGTTTTGTTAGATGGATTAAGATCTAGATTGGCTTTGATCAACTAAGGGATGTTAGAGACAGAGGGGGGGAAGAAAAAAAAACCAGAACGTTGAGTGTAAATCTAAAGGTACTTAAAGAGAGCAGAAATGAGAGTACATGTTTATTTGTGTACACGCAACTATAAACATATATGCACGTGTGTTTATGTGTGTAGTGGTCTCTGAGGTATAAAGTTGACAAACTTCCAGTGTACTTATAACTGGTCTAGCCACTGGGGTATGACTTAGCGACTCTCTGATCAACAATGCAGCTGCCAGTCTACCTATCTCTTCCTCATTTCCACCTGCCTATGCCATACCTTTCCACGAGCCCCTTTCCAGCCCAACAGCAGTCCAAGGCCACATGAGCTGCTGTGAAGCCTTGTTTGTGTCCATTATCCATGCTCACAATGCAAAGCTAGAGGAAGCAAGTATCCTTGAAGCGTCAGAAAACAGCAAATTCCGATATAGAAGAAGTCTTAGGTAATGTCTCATGCATTCAACTTTCTCCTTGGCATCCATCAGGTGGTTTGGGGAGGCCTTTTAGCAAATAGAAAATGCATGGGACCAAATACTGAGGAGTGTCAGTACATTTGTGTGGATTCAGCATTAAAAAAGAACTAAAAGCAAATTTCCTCAAATTATTCCAAAAAAAAAAAAAAAAAAAGACGACGGGGAATGAATGCTTCCAAATTCTTTCTATGAAGCCAGCAGTACACTTAATGCCAGACAAAAACACACACAAAAGTCTAGATCAATATTCCTGGTGAACATGGATTCCAAAAAATATCAGCAGAATACATTTAAACCAAATTCAAGAACACATCAAAAATCACAAGTCGACTCCATCTTGAATATGTAGGGATATTTCAACATGTATAAATCAATAAATATAATTGATCACATTAATAAACTCAAAGACAGAGACCACATGGTCACAACATTATATATAGAAAAGACCTTTCAGTATATCCAACAATGCTTCATGATAAAAGTCCTGGATAATCTAGGGAGCCGAGAATATAAATCAGCATAATAAAGGTAATAACACAACAAGCTCCCAGCCAACGTTATGTTAAATGAAGAAAAGTTAAAAATATTGCAAGGAAAATCACAAATAAGACAAGGATCTCCACTTTCTCCGGCCCTATTAAATATAATCGTTGCTAGAACCATCAGACACGAGAAGATAAAGGCAAAGGAAACAGTCGATTTGATTTTACACATTAATAATCCTAAATGTTCTACCCCAAACCTCCTACCCCTGATAAACATATCCAGCAGAGCACTAGGATACAAAATACACAATATTCTTCTTCTTTTTTGCTTTGTTTTGTTGCTGTTTCTCTGTAACTTTGGAGCCTGTCCTGGAACTAGCTCTTGTAGACCAGGCTGGCTTTGAACTCACAGAGATCTGCCTGCCTCTGCCTCCTGAGTGCTGGGATTAAAGACATGTGCCACCACTCCCCAGCTTATTCTTCTTACTCTTATCAAATGTCCACCCCACTAAAAGAATAGCCACACATCCTCCTAAAATTGGTCAGCTCTTATGTAGCGCAGAAAAAAAAAAAAACAGAGACTGGGCAGAGATATACGATGTTGAGAAATGATGGATGGATAAGGAGGACATTTTTCTTTAGGCTAAATGAATAAATTTAACATAAACTGAACATTCTGGAATAATAGAAAGCATTTTACTTTAAAGAATGCCTCATATTTTAAAAAGTCTACATACAGCAATTCTGGACAGTTATATTCAGCTCCCTGGAGAAGATTTCCTGGATGAAAGCATTCTTTTAAAGGGTGTGTAAATACTAACTCACTTCATTACAAATGAGTGCTTCCCACACTGGAACCCAAGGTTTTACAGGTATTCTCTGCCCAGGAGTAGCAGGACTCTGAAGATGTGTTGGGATGTGAGGAGTGATCAGATGCTGGCAAGACCTCTGGGATTCTCCTCTAACTTTGATGAGCACTAGATCACCTGTATGTCATCATTTCTTCTCAAAGAAGTTAGGAGGAAGACATGGTCCCTTCAGGGTACCTGAAGGTTGACCGTGGTCCACAGCAGATTAACATGGACTGATAGTTATGGATTTTCAAGGTAGGTGTCTTTTTGTAGCAGATCATGTTTTCATTTTTATTATGAAACACCATATTCATAGAAGGGGATTAAATGTCTAGTTATAAAATGCATCTAGATTGAGTGTTATCATGACATAGTAAATGTGGACGTTTGAAAGGAGAATGGCCTCCACCGACTCATATTTGAATCCTTTGTCCCCAGTTGGTGGAACTGTTTGAGAAGGATTAGGACGTATGATTTTTGGGGGGAGATGGGTGTCACTGGTGTGGACTTGGAAGTTTGAAAAGCCCACACCATTTCCGGTATCTTCTCTCTGCCCATGGTTGTGGAGCAAGCTGTGAACTTTCGGCTTTTCCTTCCCTCCACCATTGTGGACTCTAAACCTCTGGAACCATAAATCAAATCAGACATGTTCTTTTATAAGCTGCCCCAGTCATAGTGTTTAATCACAGAGTAGAAAAATAACCAAGACAACATACAAATTTATATGTTATAGATGCATATATAGAATATACCATCTATAGAATCTCTCTTTTTCTCTCTCTTTATCTCTGTGTGTGATTATATAATGGCTGTTTTAAAATTCTCTCCTCTATATTCACGCTGGTATCAACAAGGGTACCAGAAAGCTGGCTACTGTTTGTCATCTAGAAGAAAACTGAGAGTTTAGACTAAGTAGTAACGGTAACTGTGTTAACAGTCTAAAAACCAAAAGATGGGGGCTCGATCAGTATGCATGTAAGATAATGAGCTGGATTCAGGAGACGTTCAAGAGGAGAACAGATAGGATTTGATACCAGGGTGAATGTAGAGAGTTAAATTTCTTAAGTCATATTGTACAATGACACACACATATAAAACATACGTAACACATTTGTGTGGTATACTCTGTATTGATTATATTCAGCATCTATACATTTTACAAATAAGCATATAAATCCTCCCTTCAAACACACACCAAAATCTAACCTCTTCTTGCTCATCCTCTCTCTGAAAAGGTTTGGCCTTCCATGCCAGGCCCGTCCCTAACCCTCTCTCTTACCCCCTTTTTTACTTATTTCTAAATTATCACCTTCTCAGTGATGCCTTTCCTAACCTCCCTGCTTGAAACTACGCTCTTGCTCCTGCTTAGCATCTTGGTCATTTATGAAAACCGAAAGCAGGTCTGCCCTAGCCACTTTCTTTACAGAAACACAGTGTCGTTACCAGCCATTTCACAGAGTCCTTTCTACTCTGCACATACAATAATATGTGAGGCTTTTATTCTTTTGAAAATATTTATTGTGCCGGGCATGGTGGCACACTTGGGAGTCAGAAGTAGGAGGACCTCTATGAGTTATATAAAACTATAAATATATATAATCATGTGTGTGCATATCTCTCTCCTCTCTCCTCTCTCTCTCTCTCTCTCTCTCTCTCTCTCTCTCTCTCTCTCTCTCTCACACACACACACACACACACACACACACACACACACGTCTCTGCAAATATCTATGGAAGGCCAGAAGAGATTGTTGGATCCTGGATCTGGAGTTACAGGTTGTGATAACCTGCCTATTGTGGGTGCTGGGAATAAAACCTGGGTCCTCGGTAAGAGCAGCAAGTGCTTTTAACCACAAAGCCATCTTTCCAGCCCCTGTCTTTTTTTTAGACACTCGGGTAGACACAGAAACAGATAGCAGCCTTGCTTGGTGCTAAGACAGTCTTGACAGCATCACTGAAATGCACGGAGGTTCTTTGGGGTATTTTGTCTCTCAAGACAGGGTTTCTCTGTGTAACCCCAACCCTACTGGAACTGGACTATAGAGCAAGCTGGCCTCAAGAGATTCACTGACCTCTACCTCCTGAATGCTGGGATTAAAGGTGAGTGGTGTCACCACCACCCAGCAAACACAAATTTTTATCCCATTATTGTTCCATGCCTCACACCTGCATGGCTACCGCCCAGCAGCACACACAGCTGCAGCTCATCTGACTTGAGAAGCACGAGCCTCTCTCAGCCAGCATCAGAGCCAGCTTTCTCAGGAATAATCAAGTTCCAAAAGCCAGCAGGAGTCGTGCAGTTTACCACGGAGAAACATCAAGCGAAAGAGCCCGAACTATGAGACTAGCTAACGAGACAACCATCAACATCTGTACCTTGGGTAGCTAGCTCCTTCCACCTCTCTTTGTTCTGCTGGATGATGTCCACCAGGTTGTTTTTGAAACTCTTCAGGTCCACGGCGGACAGAGAGTAGTCCAGAGGATAGCTCCCGTCACTCAAGACGCCTTTCACATTTGACCGCCTCAGGGAGTCAGCAACATGGAACCCAACCATGGTGGACGAGCTAGCATGGACAACCAACAAAATCAAAACACAATAAGTTTAAGGTACCACCTGAGACAAGATGCGCTGGAGTAGGACAAATGTCAGTTAGGCCCAGATGCCAGGATGTGGCAGGTGCTTCTCCCCACATCCACTTTCCCACACGGAGAGGGCCTGGGTCTCTCCTCAACACACTCTAGAGTACTTCACTTATTTCTCCCCTCTATCTTTAAATTGAAAAAAAAAAACCCTTTCCATACAATATTTTCTGATGAAGGGTTTGTCTCTCCCTGCTCATTCAGCTCCTTCGCCTCCCCTCCCACCCAACACACACCCTTTGTCTCCTTTGTAAAGAGTGGATCTTGATCAGTGGCAAAGGGCATGCACTGCAGTAGACAGCCACAAGATGGCAGTGCTGCCCAATAATTATTCTAAGAACTGCCTGCCTACCTTTGAGGAAAGGGATATAAATCCAGCAAAAGCTCATTAAAACATTAAAGTCCAAAAATAAGCAAAACAAAATTATACCAGCTTGCCCCATAGTTAGAAGACTCCGATTTTGAGGATTCCTCTATAAGAGGGATAACAATTTTCTCCGTTGAGTCTGTCAGGAGAGAAAATGTTGGCTCCACTATGAAATCAATGAAACCTGAAAAGGCAAAGCATACGGAATGATACATTCAAGTATTCCAGCTTCCTGGTTCCCAAGGCCAGTCACAGTGAGGAGTCCCGGGGACATATGTGGACGGCTAACTGCTTTGTATAATAACGTATTCAGTAGTAGAACGGACAAGCAAGCTCCCTGGTTCAAGTGTGTGGTCTCTCCTAGTCAGTATTCCACCCTGTATGCTGTTTATCTGTCAAGCCAGCTCTAGTGAGCAGGGATGCCTTTTCTTCTCAACAAGAGGCCACTCCCCTTTGGAATGGACCTTACTTGGTTACAGCCTTTATGGGCCAGAAAGAAACACTATCTAATTTCTAAAGAACCCAGGTCGTTGAAGGTCCCCACACCTCAGGCCATGGGAAGACAGCTACTTCTGTTTTATCTTTCTTTATTCCTTGCTGCCTCGGAGTGCTCTCTCGATGGCTGTTTATTATTCTCCGGATGTAAAGCGTTAGTTCACGGTGTGTGGGCGTGGGCTGTCAAATCGGCAGAGAGAACACTACAATCTCCAGCAGACAGCATTAATCCCACCACTTGGAGACGTCAAGACTGACTGATAACTTAAGCTTAAAGTGTTCATCAGGACGGGGAGTGACAGGCAGAGCGCGGCGCCTTGTCCGCGACTGTGCACCTGCCTCTTGCTGTTGAGGTGAAAGAGGAGACAGTAACTGTTTTCAGCCCCGGGAATGCAACATCTTGAGGCCCCAAGAGCAATGGGATGCTTCAATTGGTGGGTTCCTTGAACCCGCCTGGGAAAAGAGACTTGAATACAAGAAGAGGAGGGCCTTGAAGTGACATATACATACATCCAAGTTATCCACTCAATAACTGACCAAAATATTGGAAGCTAGACACTTCCCAAGGACTTGTTGGGACACGCCCTAATTTTTACAAAAGTCTTCAATAATTTTGTATCTTAACTGACACTTCAATTCAAAGTAAAACTAATTTTCCACCCAGAATTTTAACTCCCTGGCACAGGTAAAAACTGTCCAGTGATGTTGGGACTAATGAGTCCTGGCCTTCAGCTGCTCTTCCCTCCTAGAACCTGCTAATTAAAGTTACTAGAAGCTGTGCCTAGCTTAGAGGATCAGAGGATGGGATTTTCACCTGTTGGCCATTGACTGCAGTATATTTAAGCCTACATGGTGCTAATAAAGAGTGGCTTTGGTATCAAGTGTTTAAAGGTCTGTGTGTCGGTCTGTCTCTGCGTCTGTGTTCTCAACCTCCAGCCCCTTTCCCGAAGCTTGCGAACTGGGGTCTAGCGCATAGAGCGCAGACGGGACCCCAGGTGCAGGGCACAATGAGTCAGCACTTCTACCAACTAAGTTAAGAGGAATGTGTATCCGAGCCACCAGCCACTGGGAATCTGTCATTCCCAGTGTGATAGTTGAGGTCCTGAGTCTACAGCACCCACACTTTCTGTAAGCTCTGGTGTTTTATTCTCTGAACAGTTGTTGAAGGTTGGCTGGGAAGGGGAAGGTGACAGGTGCAGTTTTTCTGGGATAGGCACGCCAGAGACCAGCTCCAGAGTAGGGATGCTGGGATAGGCACGCCAGAGACCAGCTCCAGAGTAGGGATGCTGGCTTTCAGAATAGGATCAGATATTAAAATTGTGCCACTTAACAAGCATGTGTGTTCATAAATGAACCGAGTTGTAGTTCCCTACACAGATAAAGGTAAGAATACATGTGGCTGGAAGGAGTATCATTTTGCAGATCTCCCGCTGCTGATTTATCGGTTCATATTTCAAGAATCCCCCTCCCACTAAAGAATTGTGAAAAGCTAGCAATAACACAATAGGAAAGTTAATATCTTATTTGAATTGCTTTATGTCTAAAGGACTAAATCATAGAAAATAATAATCAGCAAAACAACAAAACAAAAGGGCCAGTCCCTTACACAAGAAGAAAGTCCTTATTTACTAGGATTACAGCCAAGAATAACAATTATTCTGACTAAGAGTGTTTTGAGTCAGGATGCGCATAGGAACAGTTAAGCAAGCAGGGACTCTGCTTGGTTTGTGATGCAAACCCCTTCCAATACTTCAATTGGCTGCCTAGCGCCTTGACTTGTGTGTTCTACGCACACACACCCCTTTCCATACAATTACCCTGAAAAACAGACTTCTTCCACCTGACCTTGACAGCAACAGCTGCTTTTACTGAATTCTTTGTGTGAAAACCCTTCATTGATTTTCATTCAACATCATCCAGTTCAACCCAAAGCCACAGTGTATCACGATTAAAGCGTGGGATTGGCCTGGAAGACTTTGAAGACTGTGCTACACACATTTGAACACTAATGAGTCCCGCCAACTTTCCAGGGCCACGATTCTTCAGTCTTACCTATTTGAGACTGGGCAACCATCGTAGACTTCCGATCACAGAGTGGAGAAAATGGAAGCCCTAATTCAGCTTCTTTGTCTCCCTGGGGAAAGAAATGAACGACCAGAATCAAGTTGGAGAATTTAAGGCAATTGTGCAGTCTAGAAAGTGACTTTGAACAATCACGTTTTTGAACCTTTTAAGCAGTAATACTTACTAGTTATTTTTATCATTAAAATCTAAGGTTATATAATTTTTTTGAACAGTTTTCTTCTGAGGAATTGCTCTAGTGCGAACACAGTAACATTCTAGTGTTACAACCCACTGACTCTGAGTGAACAAACATTTCAGCTTTCAGAAGTCCCCATGGATCAGTCATTTCTGTATTATTGGGCAGCTTATTAAGAACCAAGTTTATAGACTTTCCTTCATTATTTAGATTCCACTCAACCAAGTTTTAAAAAGAAAGATTTTGCATTTACTGCTTTTTTGGAATGCATGAACATGTTGAAACCTCTTTCCATTCATTGACTAAGATTTATTGTCCCATTGAAAATAGTGATTTTATGATATAAGGTTCCAAAATATCATCAATAGTTAATTATGGAATAGCAGTATCCTTAAGAGTTTATATTAAAACATAACATTAACGTTGCTTAAATAGAAGTAAGACAGTGGATGGACTTAATGGAAAATATGATATTAAAGATGTTTATTTGGTATTTACAGATACAACTGTCCTTGATTGACAGGATCATATTTGCATTGGCTGGCGTTAGTGGTCAAGGAGCTACTGCTTGCAGCTTAAGAACACGACAATGGGTCTATTTCTATAGGAGATGGTTCTTTGCAAGACATAAAAAGATTGTTTAGGTCTGAAAAAGGCACTGTGATGACGTACTCTGTATAAGCTCCATTTTAAAGAAAGCTAAAGACACATTTTTATCCAAGGCATAAGCCTTTGACACTTGATGCAGACTTGGCCTTCCTGTAGAGGGAGTTGGGGTTTTTATGTTGTTTTTCTGTTTCCTGAACCTCTCAATTAATTTAGAATATAAAATTTCTATTGCTAAAAGCACAGAATGCTAAGATGCATTAATTATTCAATTTATTTACAAATATTTCAAAGTGTTATTTACTTTTGGAAATGAATAAAGGTCTTGGATACAGGCCAACAGGGAGCCTCTGAGCCAGACCATGAAAGAATTGAACAGGGCACTATGACGTACTGCTGAGGGAGAGGGGGAGGTGTTCAAAGGGAAATCGTGCTACCTTAGTGTAAGTTTGACCACCCTTAAAAAGTCCTTATTCTCTCCCAGGGCAGGGATACCTACTTCTTATTTCAATGAAGTCAAAGGTCAAGTCTGTAGATATTCTACATAACAGCTATTTAATACTTTTCTTGAACGCTGTGCATTCTACTGAAAGCACTATATTTAGAAGACCAAAAATATAACTCTAGAATCAATAACTTATTGTATAAATACATTTTCTAGTGTTTTAATTGACTTATGAAAGTGGTAAGGGACAATGCCACACTCCATTAACTACCCAGTAGCCCTCTGTGAGGTCCCGACTCTCGGCACTGTGTTCTGGGGATGAGCCTCCAGGTGCTGAAGCCGCAGAAGTGGCCCCATTAAAATGCAGGTGGAGAGTCGGATCTCCTGCATCTGAGAGCCCTTTCCCCGCTCAGCACTTCCTGTGCAGCCTCTCAGAGTTTCAGCTTTGAGTGGCCATGACAAACAGCTAGTAATTATTTTTCTGCTTTCCAAGGAGAGTGGGAAGGCGCTGACAGCTATCAGCGAGGTGTCAGTCTAATACTTTATCTTTGAATTTCACCAAGGCTGAAACAGTGTTTATAGCTTTCAATAGATAAAGGAAACGAAAGAGAATGAAGTACAGAAGCCTTGGGAACCTTTCTGCACCAAGACCTGGTATGGGCCTCAAGAGTAGTCAGTACCATTCAGACCACCATCAGACCCCGAGGATAGGATATGAGGGACCACTGGATCCATAGGCAACCTCAGATGGAGGTGGGAATGGTACACCTATTCAGCAGTGCCTGGACAACCTGCACAAGGAAATGTTCTCTGTGGAGCTGCCTCTGCGCCATTTAAAAATAGCCCTTGGAAATTCTCACAGTCTCCCAAACAACTGGACTGTTTAATGGCTGTAGTAACTGCCACATCTACATCCAGTTATATTTATGATAGAATGTTATTCTGTACTTTAATTATATTTTTACCAAATGTTAGGTTTGCTTGTGTAACTGCTGCTTACAGTGCTTTGTGACAAATTGCAGCTAGATTTGATTTTAACATTTTGAGCTATAGTTCTTTATATTCATTTAATTTGGGAAGTTATGCCTGTAATTTTCATTGGTGCTTTGTCTTTGGGTAAGAATGGATTAACTGAATATATTTTTAGTAGTATGAAAACAAAATTTACTTTGTCATACTTTAAATGACATCTAGCAATGCTAAAGAAAACAGGAACTTGATTATATACATCTTAGAGTTAAAAAATATCACGACTTTATCTTTTCCTTGCAGATGTCCTACGTTTCAAATCATTTGTTTCTCTCTGACTTATAAGACAATATTGCTTAATAGATGAAGATTTTTCCTAAATTGAGATTGTTTCTATGTATCATAAAATAATGAGTTGGAAAGAGAAAATATTTATTTATTGTGTGCACAGTGAAAAATTAATGTAAGTAGTTATTTTTCAATTTAATTATGTTAACTTTCCATCATACCAATTAGTACGTGTTTAAGAAGACATAAAGAGGATCTGTCTTTCCTTGCTATTGGTCATCATTTCAGCTGGTACCTCTGTCATCCATGCCAATCACCACTGAAATCGTCCAAATGTATTCATTCTAGTCGGAAACTCCTGGGCTGATTTGTTAAACACTCAGAGCAAAGACATTGTATGTACTGAGAAGCGTGAAAAGCTCATGTCTAGCCTCCTCTGCCACTGGTATTTAATCAAAGTCTAAAACCAGTGTATCTCAGGACTGTAGATTCTACATGCGACCTTGGTCTCCTCTGGACACTACTCCTCCTGGACAGAGGGTGAACTGAAGCAGCTGACCAGATACACAAAGAAATCTGGTTGGAGAAGGTGAACAAAGAGCTGGTCTCCTTCACCTTGCCCTCCAAATACATTGTGCTTAACATTTTCTATGTCATTTGTCAGAAAGTAATAGACTTGTTAAATAAATGAACACAAAACTGATTTAGACATGAGCACAACCCAAACTTCCCCTCAGTCTTCCTAATATGAATTCACATGCACAGAGAAGGGGGAGGGAGGAGCTGGAGAGAGGGAGGGGGAGAAGAAGAGATGGAGACAATTGTTACCTAAAAGCTCTCAAAGCTACATCATTCTTTAACTGTTTTTTTTTTCTGATGTTTTATATTTATATTAATTTTCTAATTTTGCTCAACAGCAATTGAAGAGCCAGGTGTGGTAGTGCATGCCTTTAATGAAAGCACTTGGGGGCTGGAGCAGAACGAAGGCCTTAAGTTCAAAGACAGCCTGGGCTATAGAGCAAGTACTAGGCCAGAATGTGCTACAGTGTGAGACCCACAAGCAAAAATAATGATGTGGGATTCCCCTTCGTATGTTGTGAATTGGACAAGGCAGACATTCCAAGCAGAGATAGAGGAGAAAAGAAGATGGAGTCACAGAGACACTATGTCACTGCCGAAGGATGCAAACGTCCTGGAACCTTACCAGTAAACCATGAGCTTCATGGTAAAATATAAATTAATAGGAATGGGTTAATTTAAGATGTAAGAGTTAGTTAATACGAAGCCTGAGCTAATAGGCCAAGTGGTGTTTTAATTATAATATAGTTTCTGTGTGATTATTTTGGGCTTGGGAAGTCAGGAAATGAACAAGCAGCCTCTGCCTACAAAGAAAAGAAAAAAAATCCAAAATAAAACAAGAATGACAGTTGAATTCCAAGAGTAGGGGGCTGAGAAGTCAGACTCTGTTCTTATGCAACCTTGCTTTAATTTCTGCCCTGGCTTTCCTTGATAATGGCTGTAACTGGTAGGGTACAGATTCCTCCTCCCCAATCTGCTTTTGGTTGGTATTTTTGTCACAGTCACAGAAAACACACTACAGAACTCATTAATATGAACTATCTGTTCATTTGTACATACATATATATGCATATATACATATATAGTAATTATAGTAAGATACCTTTTAATTATATATGTATGCATATATACATATATATACTATACCTTTCTTGTTTTCCTTGTGGTAGTTTTGTATGAATTTAGCTAAATATAATCCTTAATATTTTCTTTTATGCTCTCATAAGTAGCATTCTGTTTTACACTTAATTGTCAAATTGTTCCTTGCTTGTGGAAACAACTACGATGGATCATACACCCCATGTGGGTTCTACTGGATTTTTACAATAAGGGAAGCTTCATTTTATCCACTCTGTTCATTGTGTACTTTTAGAACCTCTTTGTACTGGTTAGGACTTCAAATGAAGCATTTAATAAAAATGGAGTTGATACTCTGATCTTAGCATAATAATATTCTGTGTTTCACCTCAAGGATTGCATTAGTTATGACTCTCTGACCCTTTACTAGGCTAGGCGACATTTTCTAACTACATTTCTGGGAGTTTGGGCAATTAAATTTTGGATTTTGCCAAATGTATTCTGTGAATCTATTGACATGACAATATGATTTTCCCTTTTTATTCTTTTAATATAGTTCAGTGTGATTAAAGAAACATTCAACATGCTAGCTCAGGCCATGCTATGTGTTCTTTTACAATATTATTGAATTTGACTTGCTAATATTTTAAGAGTTTCCCCATCTTGAATCATGACAGATATGGGTTATAATTTCCCTTATCTGAAACGTCTTTGTCAAGTTTTCTGAGAGATAAACTGCCAATTTTCTTCTTCCTCTTTCAGGAAAAATTTGAGTAAAACTGACATTATTTCTGCCTTAAAATTCTTGAGAAAATTGATATTTCTCAACTGAATTAAATAATGGAAATTGAAATTAAAGTTAAAAACTAGAGCCATTTAATTCTGGGTTTCCATTTTTTTAAGAATTAATTACTTTTATGAGTATGGGTGTTTTGCCTATATGTATGTCTGTGAACTACATGTGTGCCTGGTGCCCACAGAAGCCGGAAAAGGATGTCAGAGTCCCCGGTACTGGAGGTACAGATGTTGCGAGCAGCCAGGTGGATGCTAGGAATTGGACCCAGGTCCATTTCCTCTGAAAGAGCAGCCAGCCAGTTCTCCTAGCTGTTGACCATCTTACTAGCTCAAATCCTGGATTTTCTTATGTGGAATTGTATTATAAATTCAATTAAAATATAAGTATACGACTATTTAGACTGTAGCTTTGTTTTGTGTGTAGTTTGCTAATTTATATATTTTTTAAAGAATTTGGCAATTTTACTTCTGCTATTAATATCTTTAGCATAAATTGTTCATACTATTTCATACCCTTTAGACATACATAAGCTCTACTATAATAACCTGTCTTGCATATATGTTTCTCCATCCTTTTGATCCTGCAAGAAATTTCACTACTTTTTCAGTTTTTCTCTGTTAAATTTGTCTATTGTTGTTAGCCGGGCGGTGGTGGCACACGTCTTTAATCCTAGCACTCGGGAGGCAGAGGCAGGCAGATCTCTGGGAGTTCGAGGCCAGCCTGGTCTACAAGAGCTAGTTCCAGGACAGGCTCCAAAGCTACAGAGAAACCCTGTCTCGACAAAAACCAAAAAAAAAAAAAAAATTGTCTATTGTTTCTCTTCGCTCTGCTTCACTGAATTTGGTTTTACATTTATTACTTCCTCCTCAGCTTATTTTAGTTCAATTTTCTTAAATTTCACCTACATTCTTAAGATTAAAAAACAGGTCATATGTTTTATACTTTTGGTCTTTTTAAATAATAAAAATATATAATGTTACAAAATGTCCTCTAGGTACAGTTTTAGTTTTGCAGTTCACAGAGTGCCCTGTGTTATGCTTTGACAAGTCTTTCACCTGTGCAAAGAAATTCACAATTCTGTGGACACTGAAATTCAAAAAAGTTATGGGGTTCATATTCATGATACAGGAAGGTGACATAGAGACCTAGAGACCATAGAGACAGCCATGTCTGAGTCATTCCCCACCCTTCAGGAAGGTGACCTAGAGACCTAGAGACCATAGAGACACCCATGTCAGAGACACTTCCCATCCTTTTCTTAACTGCTTTATCTGGCCATTACTAGATTGCATCCTTTATGATAAAATTCCAGCTGTCAGGATAGTATAAGCCCTGACTTCTATGGGCTAACAAAACTCTATTACCAACTCTAGAAAAGATTATAAGAACTGAATTTGTAACTAGCTAGTCAGAAACCAACATGCCCTCCCCTCCCCCCGGGGCTGAAGTTTGAAGTGGAGCCTGTCTTTGGGAAGACTGAGCGTTTAACTTGTGGAATGTAAGGCAACTGAATCATTAGCATCAGTCTAGAGTGTAGCATCCCAACTTTGGGTTTGGCAATGTTAAAACAGGGGCACCACACAGGAGACAACTTGAACACGCCTGCAGCGGAGAGCAGGGCTTGCCTCTTCCAGGCTTGTACTGGTTTCAGTTAGACATGTGTCTGCGCAACCTCATTTTCCTCAGCCTCCTTTGCAGCTGCAGGTTGCGTTAGAATTTGAGAGAAGATATACATAGACGGTTGGGTGTCCTCCTTTGCTCTTTCCATTGGTATTTGCTGTGTCTACTCCCAAACTTACCTCTTAATAACACATGATTCTAACCTGTTTCTCTATTCCTTTCTTTCCTTACTGCCACGCTCTCATATCTAAGACATCACTTTCTCTAAAAGACGTTTGGTACTATTTTGGGTGATCTAACGTATTTCCCTAAAACAGTACTGAACTCTCCCAAGCATCTTAACTATGTGCCCTGGCTTATTGAAAATATAAGTCAGAAGCGCTGGGTTCTGTTAAAAAAACAAAATCACGTCGTCAGTATTCACAGTTGCTATTTTCAAACCAGAGAGAGAAGGCACCTGCAGAAAAAACTCCTCCATTAGGGCCATGGTCCACCTGTAGTGCAGCTTCCAAGTTTTGGCTGGGTGGCTGATATCGGCTGCGTGGAGTATCAGGGACATGGTTTTGGCTTTGTCAATCCTGCCAAACCAAAGACATGTGCAAATTACCAGAACTAAACAATCACCAACTGTTTTCTAAGTCCCAACCCCCAGACCTTGAACATGACACCAGACAGTAACCTACCCTTCAGGCTGCTGCAAGCTGTTTCTTATGTTTTTAATTTGCTGGAAATGGCCTGACATGTCTGTAGATAACACCATTTCAATCACTAAGTTCCGAAGATCCCTGCAGAGGCATCGAAAGGAGGGAGAACGGTTCATTTGACTCCTCCTTACCTTGGAGTGGGACGTTTCCACAGATATCTAGGGTCACACTGTAATGATTTCAGCCACTGAGGCTGGTACTTCTCAATTCTAGGGGCCATGCTTCTGTAGACAAGCCCTCAGGCAGAAGTGCCTATTGGCCCCCCAGAGATGCTAAAGCGTGTGTTACCCATGTGCGACGTGGATCACATCATTCACGTATGACTCAGCTAAGCCCTTAAACGCATACATCATCTGAGTATGAGGTAGCCATGTTAAACCCCTGTGCGCATGCGCTAAGCAACCTTTAAAAGCTGAACGTGCCAACTCCCCCCCCCACTCCCCCGTCTCCCCTCTCTCTCTCTCTCTCTCTCTCTCTCTGTCTCTCTCTCTCTTTCACACACTATTTTTTCTAAAAATTCTGAACACAGAGCCGTGACCTTATCAACGCCATCATACTCACAAAAGCTAGACATTATCTTATTCATTGACACTTATGATTTTATAATAACCACACCACTTAATATGTTCCCTAAAAATGAGTTGTTTTCCATTTTCAGGCCACAGTATTTCTTGCCAACTCATAATTGCTATTGCTAAGTCTTGGGGGTTTTATTCCACCTGTTTTCCTCACTTTACTAACAACTTAAAAACATTGTCCTTGGGGTTCAACACCCTTGGGTTTCCTCTGACACTCACCTCCAGTCATCCTTCGATAAATTTACAAAGATGTTCATTTCCTCCTCTTGCATAAGCCGATAGGCCGCACTCACGTGGTGATTCTCAAGCACTGAGCGATCATTGTACAGAATGGCAACGTCTGACCTGGGAATTGAGAGCAAACATCCAGAGAATGTCTTCAGACTCTGAGATTTTAATACTTAATAGTCAAATTTAAGTCATTGGTTAAAATCTTATTATTGAACACAGAAAATCATGCTAAGCTACCTTTAAAAAAACTATGTTTTTTAAACTGTATTTTTTTATTTGTGGAGAGGACACCTGAACTGCCCTTCCCCTGTAAGCAGACTGATGACCACCTTAATTGTTACCATAGAACCTTCATCCAGTAACTGACGGAAGCAGATGCGGTCATCCTCAGCTAAGCACTGGACCGAGCTCCTGGAGTCCAGTTGTGGAGGAGGAGGAGGGATAAGATGAGCAAAAGGGTCAAGACCATGATGGGAGAACCCACAGAAACAGCTGACCTGAGCAAGAGGGAGCTCACCAACTCCAGAATGACAGCTGGGGTTTCTGCCTATGACCAAAGTAGGCCCTCTGAATGTGGGTGACAGTTGTGTCTCTTTTAGGGTCTTCATTGTTGTTTGAGATTATGAATTGTAGGTTGGTTTTTCTTTGATTTATATCTAAAAGACACTTATGAATGAGTTCATATGATATTTGTCTTTCTGGGTCTAGGTTACTTCACTCAATATGATATTTTCTAGATCCATCCATATGCCTGCAAATTTCAAGATGTCATTATTTTTTTCCACTATGTAGTACTCCATTGTGTGAATGTACCACATTTTTCTTATCCATTCTTCAGTTGAGGGGCATTTAGGTTGTTTCCAGGTTCTGGCTATGACAAACAATGCTGCTATGAACATATTGAGCACATGTCCTTGTGATATGATTGAGCATCCTTTGGGGATATACCCAAAATTTGTATTCCAATTTAGTTACAAATGGAAAATGGAAGAAAAATGCGTAGTTTTGCTACATTGTGACCTTTTGAAACAATGCATTGTGCAGTGGCTAGAATGATTACTATTATATATCCGTTCATATTCTTAACATTTTTGTAAAATACTGAGTCTACCCTTGGTCATTTTTCACAATGTAATACATTGCAGTTCATGGTAGGCCCTATATTATCTAATTCTCCATATTAGCTTATTCCTCTCTTCTTACAGGCGAGACTGTAAGTCCCTGACCGTTCCCTCAGCATCCAGTGACTACCACTCCACTCTAGGGAATATTCTTTATCAAGCTGAGGACATTGTCAACTCTTTCTAGTTTATTGAATTTGGACCATAAATAAAAATTGGATTTTGTCAAATATTTTTCTGTATATCTGGGCATGGTACCATTTCTTCTTTAGATTATGGATTGAATTTCAGGTGTTGAATCAGAGATAGCTTGCATACCTGGGATAATTAGTCACGATGCTAATTTTTCCTTTAATTATCATAGCTTAAATATCTATATGCCCTTTCCTTTTCATTTAAAATGCTAATATCTGTAATATAATCTAAATAGCCAAGAGAAAAACTTTGGCTCATTCTTATTCAGTCAGTAAATGACTAGCCTCTTTCTGCATCATTTCAGGTAGTTAATTACATCTTCATTCATTTGACCCCAATTTACTTTGGGTAGGGGATCAAGAGTACGACGGAAATGTCTTTCTCCCACACATTTCTGTGATTAAATTGAATATTGCAGATGCACTCACTGCAAATTAAAATGGAGAAAGTTGTTTTCAACACATGTTTATAGCAGACATTTTACTCTTAAGCTGTCGAGTTCATCAAGAGGTATTTACTTCTCACCTGCCTATACACTCCAAACTAATAAAAATACTTCAAACTTCCTGGAGAGACTTGACATTCTAGCCTAATGGACCAGTTGCAAGAATTCTCAGTTCTGTAAAATGGAGTCTTGACTTCTTCATTCTCTCCTCCTAGAATGCCTTATACAGACTGGAAGCAGAAGCCTTGTTTGCAGCATCTTCAGTCGGTGGGTCAACCACACATGCTAGCACAGCAGAAGCAAGCAGCAGTGATAAGAGGAAGAGAAAGGGAAAGCCCACAGCACCTCCACTACTCTTCGGCTTCTAGAACCCAGCATCTCCTGCATCCCCTTTTCTTCCTAGATGTATTTCATATGCGTGTCGGTTGGTATCAGGTCAGTTTGACATAAGCTAGACTAATTGGAAAGGACTTTCAAGTGGGAAATGATTCCATGATGCTGGCCTGTGGGCAAACCCATGGGCCATTTCCTTAATAAACGATTGGCCCAGAAGGGCTCAGCCCTTGGTGGATGGTGCCATAGCTGAGAGTGGTCCTGAGTTGTGTAAGCAAGCAGGCTGAGCAAGCCAGTAAGCAGCATTCTCCACGGCCACCTCTGCTTCAGTTCCTGCCTCCAGGTTCCTACTAAGAATGCCTGCTCCAGCTTCCCTCAGTGAAATGGTGTAAGCTGAAAGTTGTAGGCTGAGAGAACCCTTTTCTTTCCCAAGCTGTTTCTGATCATAGTGTTTTAGCACTGTTACAGAAAACCTACTAAGACACCGTGGTAAGAAACTGTGTTGCACAAAATGGACTGTCTTTGGCTTTTTGATGGATTGAGTTCTAGTTACAACCTGGCCCTCACCTGTTACTGAATGTTTCCTGATGAGCAGGTAAGAACAAAACAAAGAACCGATGTTGTCACTAAAACAATACAAAAAGATGGGTAACTGTGGAAGCTGATTTGCTTCCCTGAGTAACCATTTGCTATGTGGACCATAGAATCATGTTGTCTGCATTATACGGACATAATATTTTTAAAAGAAGAAACACAAAAAATCTGACATCCCTTGTAAGCAGTGTATTCAAGAGCATTATCTAATAGTATGCCAAATAAAGCAAGCGTTTTGTTTTGTTAACTAGGCATACGTGAACTGGTCTATCAGTCACTAGATCAATTCACATGCTTTAATGCATCCTGCATTGTCATAAGTTGAAACTGTGGTGTGTGTGTGTGTGTGTATGTGTGTGTGTGTGTGTGCATGTGCATCTTACTAACATTATATAACTTCTAGCAATCTCACAACCCAAAACTCACTTAACTATCAATCATAGTTCAACACAAAGGAAGGTCACATGTAATCTGCACTTAAGGGATAATTGAAAGAATATTAACTGAACAAAATACCACATGTATTTCCAGAAGTTTGCTGATTATAGGAAAAACTATGATTTTCCAATAATTTCAGTTATATCACGTGGACCCTGATATATCTATAGCAGGATTTTTAAGGTGATAATATAATGTCACTATATAATGTGACAATGAGTATCACTTCCTCTCTGAGAAACAAGCAAAAGTGTGTTTTTGAACCAGATTTAGCATAGCAAAATATGTTCGGCTTCGTATCATAAATCCAAAAAGCTCGCTGAGAGTACTTAATATTTGATGGTCTTTTACCGCTAAGAAAAGAACAAGACTCTAAGCAACATGTCGTATCCATGGTAACATGTCGCTTAGCATTTGCTATTCACAAAGGGAAAATTAATTCCATTTATTTACACTTTCAAGGATTTTGTGTGTTATAATAGCTTTAGAGAACTCAAGTCAGCCTTGCCCTGTGTTTTAAATCATTCTCAGCCGTTTTGTTTATACGGTAAATGTCTCCATATTAGAAAAGCCCTCCAAATCCAAATGGCATGAACACTATAAAGCAAAACAGAATTAATGTTATTGGTGACATTTGACCTTGTTTCTCTTTTGGCAAAGAGAAGGTAATACCATGAACTTAAAATGTTATACTGTTGCATAATTTTGTCATTGAAATAATGTTTTACTAGAACTTTCAAGTTCATGTAGAATGACAACATTAAGTAATTGATGCTGGTAGACAATTTATTATGAAGAAAAGCAGTAAAATAGAAGACTATGCTCATCTTTCTTATTGCTATAAATGAGGGAAACCCTAATGCCTCCTGTCATCATCACCCTTTCCTTCTCCCTTCCCTACATGGCCTCCTTCTCTCCCTCACCTACTTCCTTTGCTTCCTCCTGCTCCTCTAAACCCAACATTTAAATAAGATAGACTTCTTCACCCTGCTGCGGATGATGAGTGGAAAGGAAGCTGCATGGATGTCCTGATGCAGCGCAGGAGAAACCAGCTTGGTCTTCACTGCTCCGATCAGGAAGCACAAGCGTTGTTCTCTGGATACAGGGCACTTGTTTCTTCAACAACCCCTGGAACTGTTTGCCCATGAAAGTCCCAGCTCTGTAAAGACCTCTCTCTATAGAGCCTCTCCTTTATATGGATTCTGTGGGTACAAAGCATCCTCAATAAGCAACCTTGATACAGACGTTCTTCTTCTCCCTTGACTCATAAATAAAAGAATAAAAGGGAAAATGTTCTCCTTGTGCCGCAAAAGAAGTTACTAACATGCCTGCTTTATAACCAGATTCCAAGGTTCTCCTCTCCCCCTGTTTCTACATCATTCTTGGGAACATGAGTCCAAGGATAGACATAATGTCTTCACTGACTTTCCACTTTTTCTGTTCATCAATTTTCATTCTACTTGGGTCAACCCTTTGTCTGTCCCTTGTGCTAGTCACAGACTGATTCTGCCCCTCTTCTCAACTTCTCAATCTCAGTATTGTGTGTATTTTCACAGGTTGCTTCATCCCAGTGACCTTAATTTTCTTAATATATCATGGAATGTAAACCAGATGACCTGTAAGTTGAAAAGCAAAAACAGCCAAGCCACTAGAGAGAAAGCTCTTACCTCTTTGAAATCTTCCGATTTAAAGACATCGAGTTCCGGTCTCATCCTACCTTATATTCCTCTCTAGTGCTGGGATGCACTAGATGCATGCACCATCTTCACCCAGCCTCTGGCTAACTAGTGTGGCTGCTCGGATTAAAGGTGTGTGCCACCACTACCTGGCCTGTTTGACAGTGTGGCTGCTTTGCACTGGCCTTCAGGCAAGCTTTATTTATTAAAATAAAAATGAAATATTACTACATAAACACCTTTGTTCCTGTCCATAGGTTAGTGTTGCTGTCAGCTTTGGTAAGAAAGGCTTTTATGTAGTGGGTAGTCGTTCCTACAGAGATACACAACGGATCACAGCTATGAGAGTAACCATTGAATGCTCATTCACAAAGGGACCAGGTATATCACAACCATAAGTGGAACATCTATATCACCCTCATAGGTGATGATGTCAGAGAACACTGTCCAGAAGAAGGAATAGAGGGATATAAGAACTGTCCTCTGGCCGTGATATGACCATTGCACGTTAAACACTCAGTACTGTGAGAGCCTACACAAGAGTCTCACAAGACTGGACCTGTCAATACCTTAACACCATGTCGTGGGAGAGGCTCATTGGGCCCCACTCCTGCCTATGGCTTTATGCACAGTTAGTTTTTGATAGAATAGAGAGAGACATTTTACTCAGATGTACTCATTGGTAAAGATCTTGCTCCTCTAAACAACTTTTCAATCAAGTTCCTGCATGAAGTGTACTGAAACTCATTGGGTCACAGACACATACACAAAAGGAGATAAAGTCGAAGTGGTGCTTACTGGGAGGAGCAAAGACATTGAGAAGGGTGGGAGGCACATAAGAGAAGGGGAAAATTTAGTTAAAAGCATTATATGCATTTATGAACCTATCATAATGAAAAAAATTATTATCCATGATTAACATATGCCGATAAAGCATTTTTTAATTTGTCTGCTTTTGTTATGTTTTATTTCAGTACAGAGTCTCTCTGTGTAGCCCTGGTTGTCTTGGAACTCACTCTGTAGACCAGGCTAGCCTTGAACTCAGAGGTCCCCTTGCCATTGGTCCTGAGTGCCAGTGCTAGTATTAAAGGCCTGCACCACCATCACCTGGTGCCAATAAAGCGTAAAAAACGAGTCTTAGCATTCTCTCAAGAGAGAAGTTCTAGAGTTTCCCAGAGAGATGCAGGTGTATTTCCCCATTAAGCAATCGTGGCTGATTAAACACAGAAATGTTGGGATTTCACAGATAGAAAGTGAGTTGCACCCTGATTTGTCCAGAACTAAATTCTACCTCTGGCGCATTGAAATCTTTGTTTAACCATAAAGAGTTTAGGGTACCTTCCTTTTATAGACTGAGTTCTGCACTTCAACCCCGCTGGATTCATATATTGAAGCTCTGCTCCGAGGTATTTGATATAGATGGGCATAAATGAGGTAAAATGATGCTATGAGAGTGGAAAACCATGTCTCGGATGAACGGTGCCCTCATTTGAGGAGGAAGGAGCACCAGACAAGTATACGCAGGAGAAAAGGCACAAGGAGGTTGCTGTCCACAAGCCGGGGTAGGGGGAACCTAGAAGAAAACAAGCCACTGACACCTTAATCTTCGACTTCCAGCCTCCAGAACTGTAAGAAAGGAATTGTTTGTTGCTTAAACCATCCATTCGGTGTTTATTATAGGAACCTTAGGAGGATATTATAATACATGTCCACTCCAGTACTTTGGTTGAGTAAGTGTCATTATAACCATTATTAAAGCATCTTATTTTTCAATTTTATTGAGCCCTTCACGCTGCCCTGGAATGAGATTTCTTCACTCTCCTGATTTCTTAAGAAACAAACTTGTCTACCTTCTAATCTACAATTACATAAAACATTGCCGGAGACAATCCATTATGTGAGGTGTCTCGGTGGATAAATGTCTGACGTATGAGGCTGCTCAGGCTGAGCCTTGGCAGAGAAAACTCATCTGATAGACACCTATGTATTTTAACCTGTTAAATACTCAGGCAAAACGTGTGAGTTTTCAAAAACAGGAGCAGATTGATTGAAGTTGTCAAGTCTTAAGAATTATTGCTAAAAGTTATTAAACCCATTCTTAGTAAAAATCTGCTTGTTCTAAACATCTCTTAAGAATAAATAAAACACATAAGATAAATGAATAGGCATATATCCATAGTTCATGACAATGGGTTTTATAAAGACAGGTAGGTACTTGGACCATGGCCACCTCCTATGCCCTCTCTTTTTGAGAAAAAATAAATTTGAACTTGTTGAAGTTAAGACTTCATGGCACTTACCGTGTCTGAATGTGGAAGTTGTTTGTTGTTCCTGTGTGCTCGAAATCATGAATGGCAGCTGCAAAAACCATGGCTAAAATTTCCAGTTCCGTGAACCAGTGCTAGTAAAAGAAGGAAACATGCCGTCACGCTCAGCATCCTTATCATCGTTTCTTTTTATGGGAAAGTCTTCAGTGTGCTCAGAGTGCCCAATCACATAAAACAATGCTGTCTTTAATATGTTTTCCATTTTTACTCAATTAGCTATGAATAATCAATGCTTCGGGAAACCAATGATCATTTCGTGCTTCATAAGCTCAAAATCTAAAATTCATAATATGATCGCCCATGCTTCTTAAAAAGGGAGCAATTTTTCCACCATCTGAAAGGTTGACTCCAAAAGGATTTTAAAATAACAACTTTACTAGTTTGGGATTTATGAAATAAACTATAATACAGATTGTATATACAGATATATAATACATATATAATACATGTAATACAGATGTATAATACATAATGTAGAGCTCACCTTCACTAAAATGTATATTTAGATAATCATTTAAAAACCCATGAAAACAAATTTTCATTTAAAATTGGAAGAACTTATTCTTTCCAAGAGCGAAACTGATTTAATTTTTAGATTTAAGGATGTGGAAAAGTTTATAAGAATTTGCCAAATTTTGTATTCATAGCACATATATAACCATTCAGGGAAACTTGATAATAACAAAGAAAAGAATAACTGTTTTCATGTAAAACCCAGGTCCACCTTTTTCATATACGTTATCCTTTCTTTTATCAGCTGTCTGGTACTATGCCTACTGCTATAGCTTATAGAATAATTCAATGTATTTTTCATCACTCACATTCTGTATAGCACACAACAATACATATGACAAATATAAATAAAACAGAATTATATTTACTGCCCCATTGCGCTAGGTATATTTCACATGTTCATTGATCAGACTGGGCAAGTGATTTCACTTGCCACTGAACAAGACTATCAGCAAATGTTCTTTTGGATAGTCCTGCAAGAAAAATAGGACTTGCATTAGGAAAAGGGGTTCTAAAGTGAGATGTTTGCCCTTGGACATCTTTCAAGCCAATGAAACACACAGCTTACCCCACACCGAACATGCACATAAACATGCATCACACACATTGACACACACACATGTATGCTGCATTTGACGGTCTGATAAAATGAGGTTGAGAAGAGGATGAAGGGGTGCACCCATACACTGAGACAATGGGGATGTTCTATCAGGAACTCACCAAGGCCAGCTGGCCTGGGTCTGAAAAATCCTGGGTCAAAACTGGTCTCGCTGAACATAGCGGACAAGGAGGACTACTGAGACCTCAAGAACAATGGCAACGGGTTTTTGATTCTACTGGACCTATTGGTTTCGTGGGAGCCTAGGCAGTTTCGTGGATGCTCACCTTACTAGACCTGGATGGAGGTGGGTGGTCCTTGGACTTCCCACAGGGCAGAGAACCCTGATTGCTTTTTGGGCTGACGAGGGAGGGGGACTTGATTGGGGGAGGGAGAGGGAAAGGGGAGGCGGCAGTGGGGAAGAGACAGAAATCTTTAATAAATAAATAAATAAATTAAAAAAAAAGACTATGAAACCAACTGACGGTCTACTTGGATTACAATGATGAAACTGGATTTCCTATAAAAGTCAGGCAGGCGCCACTGAAGTCAGGGAGTCAGCAACGGTGGGCTCTCAGAGCTCGCTGAGCTGCGTTCCTCTCATAGAAGCGACTGCAGAATGGTGCATGCCAGGTAATAATGCCTGCAACGTTGAAGCTCATTGGTTTTGTGTAAGAGGGAGGTGGTGGGAGCAATGGAAGAGAGCACGTGATAGTTAGTTCTGTGTGAGTCTCTCTTTGTCACCGTGCACGTGAGATGTTTACTGTCTGAGCCACAGATTCCGTTCAAATGGAATTAACAGGTCTTCCTCTGTGGGCTTCCAAAGTTGGGTAAATTCATGGGTTGTTCCTATCAAAGTCTTGTCTAATAGCCAAATACAGAGGAAGCGGCACTTTACTACAGTTAGGACTTTATACTGCAAAGCTTTAAATCTGGAAAATGACAACCGGGATGCTGTGGTGACTGCCTGCAGGCGAGGCCTCTCAGAACCTAAAGGACTTGGTATAACTAGGTGTTTCGTGCATGTAAAAACTCATTTGAGAGCCACTACAAGGAAGAAAATGACCTTATTAATAGCCTGTGTTACAGACTGAGATGGGACTCAGCCTCCAGCGTTCCCTCTGATACCATAGAGCTAGACACAATGAAGTGAGTAGAAATGAAATTAAAACAGCTGTGACCCCAGAGATTCATTGTTTTGTTAAAGAAACATGTTTGTGAGAGAAGAGAAACCTTTCATCTTCAAGTATCTCTTGATTGTATAGTTATAGATTTAACTGGTTGGGGAGAAAAAGCAACACCCAATATCTACTTTGATAATATCAGATATAAGTCTGCGAAGTAAATTTAGAGATGGAATTTAATCATAGACTAGCTCATAATTATTTTAAATTATTATCTTCCTAGCTATAAAAACTAATTTTAAATGTATTTCCTGGTTTTCTCTTAATCTCTGCTTGCCACGAAGAGACGTTTCTCCATGAACTGTATTTAATTATTACTATGCTACGGCCTCACTGAGCATGTTTATAGGAGAAATTAATTTGGGAATGTAGACATTTTCACATTCAATTGAAAAATATCTAATATCTTTTCTGTCTTAGTAAAAGAATTTTGCAGTGACTGCCGGCTCCTTCATGGTTGATTCACTTATGGCTGGTGGTGAATGTCTTTATAGCCAAGGAAACATCTACATGTTATAGCTTCACTTATGGCTGGTAGTGAATGTGTTTATAGCTAAGGAGACATCTACGTTTGTAGATTTCTAAAATAACTCTTGGGGACGTACGGTATCAGATCATATTGTGTTTCTCATCAACAGAACAGAACTGACCAAGGCTCTGCTGGTTCCTGGTAGGCAGAAATCCAAGGCTAAAACGATGAGCCATGATCAATGTAGATTCTACATTTCCTCTAAGCTGCAGACGGCACATGCCCTAGAGGGCTCAGGTCAACATCTTCTCAAGTGGGCAGTGCCCAGGCTATATCAGAAGGAAGTATTGACCGTCCTAAGAGCTCACACATCAGTGACAGACAGCATGGAGTAGCACTGTTGTTAAACGGGCCCTTGAGACAATTCCATTATTTTTATGCTTGTCCTACGGACCTCTCAGTTGATAAATATTTGTATCTTTATGTTAGCAGACAGCAAAGCTCAGTCCTATGGAACTGGATCAGCATGACGGAGGTTAAGCAGAGACAAGAATTAGGATTTAAAAAAAAAAAGATTGAATTTTCTTTTTTTCTATGGAGCACGGTAACTTTCATGATTCAAGACATTTGCCCATGTTCCAAGCTTTCCAAAGCAGAACTGACTATCTTGAGTGGATATCTACACGGGTAAAAGCTAATAGAACTCCAAGGCTGTGCTCATATTTGAATTGCTGTGTATGTATGTACATGTGTGTGATAAAGCATGTGTTCAGGTTGGCAAGTATTTCAGATCAGAAATTGGTTCTTAAGAGTGCTTTAAAGGTATATAATAACTATTTTAGCCTAAAGTGTTGGGATTGGGCACTTTTTGTCTCCATCTTTTCTTAATAAACACAAGTAGTTTGCAATAATTTAACACAGAAAGGTATTTATTACATTATGAAAGCTAATGAGCCTTGTATTAAGAGCTGTCTATTTCAGGTACTGCACAAGGTGCTTTATAATGAAACTGAATGGCTCTTCTTTAACTCTGTTTTAGTGGCAAGGACACCAAAACAGAGATGTAGAATATTAGAAGTGGCAGAAAATGTTTTCAATGCTGGTGGCCGCCTCCTCCCTTTGACACAGTATTGTCAGGGAAGCCATTACCACAGAACATGGATTTCCTGCCATGTTTTCTGTAGACTGTTCAGAGAAAAATGGAGTCATCCCAAAGTGTAGAAGTTGGTGTCTGGGCAGTCTGTGGGATGCAAATTCCAGAGGAAAGATCGCAAGTCACCTGAGATCATCAGAGAGAATGAATGAGACCAGCCACCAAGTGTGAAAATGCTCTGGGCAAAGCCCTAGAATGACCTTGTATTTAAAGGGACAGTTGGAGGGAGCTTGGCATCACTCCATAGAGCTGACTCTTTAGCAAGTGGACTTTCTGTAATTCTCTGTCCCTGTAGCACAGGTTACAAGTTAATCGAGGGACAAAGGAGAGAGGAGGAGGCACAGGAGCTGTGAAAGCATCCGTCTCTGCTTCTGTCCATGCCGTCCAGACCCAGGACTTCCCTCTGATCATAAAACCCAGGAAGCTTCATCACCATCCCTTTCGTGCTTGGCTCCTCAGCACACCTTGCAAGTGACAGATGCATTAGTCACCTGACAGCGCTGGCCTGGAGCTGGAGTGTTCTCTAAATGTCACTCTGATAGGACCATCTCAAAATAGCAGGGAATCAACTCAACGCTAAAAGGAGTGAGTGACCCAGTGTTTTCCATACCAAATCTTAAGGGTGAAAGAAAGACTTAAAGAGGTACAGCTGGTATTTTTGTGATGCATTTTTTTTAAAGACAGAGATGTTCATCTGTATGAAAATTAGCATTCACCTAGCACCACGGAAGAAAGCTTATTAAAACGACTTTCCCAAAACTGTCAAGGTGACAGTGTGCTCTCATTTTGGCAAAATTCTCAGCACATTCACGAATTCATTTCACCTGCAAAAATTTTATTCCATTGTAAAATTCATTCTCTCTTTTGCTTTAATTAAATGAATTTTCTGGATTTTACTTGAGACTAAATTAGGTTTACCAGTAGACTAATTTTGTAGTGGTCCAACTAACTGATATTTTGCTGAAGAAAGGATTGAAATTGGAAGCCAGGTGACATGCCAATGTTGTTAAAAGAAGTTACATTCGCATTTGTGGCTTTCTCTAGAGTGACTCTGACCTACGCTAATGGCTTCATTTTCTTGGTGTCCTGCAAGAAGGCAGGATGTGGGCTCAGATTCCCCAGGCTTCAGGAGAATAGGAAAGGACATGGGATGCACTCAGCACATCTTCCCTGTATGTCTGCAGGTAAAGTCACATGTCAGATTTCAATTTCTCTGCTTGCCCACTAATGTGATAGCGCACGTCTTTTCAGTGTACCCTTTGGACTTGAAATTCTCAGGATAAAAGAGGAGATGCTTATTGCAGTCCTTGTAGCAAACAAAAGAAAATAACAAAATGTGTTTGCACTGTAAAAATATCGTAAGATAATGAAATCCTGCCCGCCACATGGCTGACTTTTTCAATTTGCTTCACAGCGGAGAAGTGAAGGAATTAGAGGGACAGAGGCATTGCGTCTTCACTCCCGCTTCAGAAACCCAACCACTTTCCACTTTGGAGTGTGCTTTAAATGAATTTTTCCTTTCTGTTGTCTTCAGTTAACTTTTTTAAGTCAGGAGAGAGGGGATGTCAGACGTTTGAAAGAAAAGTCAGCTCACCGTTGGAGTCAGGGCAGAGGCATTAGAAATCAAAAGGCAAGAGAAGAACCCTAAATCAATGTGTACCACAGAAGGACACTGCTGCTCAGGAGGCCCTGTGTCTGTACTGACAGACTAAAAGTCAAGTGGAGAACCCTAAGTCTATGAACCCTAAGTCAGTGGACACCACAGAAGGACACTTAGTGCTCAGGAGCCCTTGTATCCATGATGGTAAGGCCATGAATACTAAAGCGAGTAAAAGCATAGCATTCCAGAAAGAACTGAGACAATGCCACCTCACTAAACCAAAAGGTTTTGGTGAAATTTAGGTGCTGCATAGGGACACAACTAGAAAGAAAAACAAAGAACCCCTAAAATACTTCTTTTAGGACAGTTTTTGAAGTGACTGCTTTGTCATAGAGTGGGTATTTCTCCAGTGTTGTGAAAATTGAAAATGGCCTTTAAGATGTCCCCTAAATCCCCAACTGAGCTTCCAGCCACCAGTCATATCAACAATCAATCTCAAGGGTGACATCGTAGACTACAAGACAGGAACCCCCTCAGATGTCTCCAGCCATTGTTGCCAGCAGGCCGCAATCAGTCAGGAGTAATAATCAAGCCAATGTGGGAAAGCAGTTTCAAAATCTATTCTCAAATTTTAAAGAGTACAAACAAATAGAATGCTCTACAGTTCAAATTTTAGAAAACGAATACAGCAAATATATTTTAGTTGACCCTTAAGCATGTTTTCTTCTACAGAATTAAAGTATTTTCTGAAAAATGTATAACTAATGTAAAATCTCAGTGATTATTACATGTATGTTAGTTACGCTACTCTACAAATATCCGTTCATGGCGTTAGAGACAAGAATAATGCAAGAGAACGGAGTTTTGTTTCTATGCCAACCACACTTCATTTATAAAGGCTTTCTTACCATGATACCTGTATGAAGCATGATGTAATGCACAGTTTGAGTGACATCAGCTGCATGAACCAAATTATGATATGGATTTTTGTGCTTGCTGTAACCAACTTCTAAAGCTTCTGCAAAGGCAATTAGGCAAGAAACGGGAATCTGTGGAAAGTAATATTCACGATTATATTTTTGTTTGAATTGTTATGCTACACAAACATGAACACAGGGTTTAGAAATGGAGCAAATTAATGGGTCAAATATGGGCAGTAATTTCAAGTTCAGTGAGAGTTGTCTTAAAAAACCACATCATTGATATATTGGACTGCAATATGAAAGACTTTAACACAAATTAAATAGCTCTGAATTTTCATATCTTCCACAGGCAAGAAAAAAAAACTAGTTCTTAAAAACATGAAACTCCCCAATATAAGCCACAAGGTCTAGTTTTCCTGTCAGGGAAAACTGGTGGCTTCGCAGTTCCTTCTGCCCCTTCTAGTGCTACGAGCCCTGAGCTAGGAAGTTAGGACCTCAGATTGCTCAGATGTGGCAGGAAGAGGAGCAGAGAAAAATGTAGAGCTTAATAAAAATCAATAAAAAAAATTATTGCTTGGACGCTTCTAGGTGAAAACAATGGGAAGATGCATCTTTTCAGTCTAAGGAAAGCTCCCAATAAGTTAGATGTGGTGATGGAATACTGAGATCCCAGAGCCACCATGGTGAATCAATAAGACTGTGTGTTCGAGACTAGCCTGTGCAACATGGCAAATTCAAAGCTACCTTAGGCTGAACAGAAAGACCATGCCTCAAAAATAAAGAAAAGAATTGGCTTGTTGTGTAGTATTAGAGCCCTGGAAACAAAAGATGAAAAAGAATCCTGGAAACCTATTGCACTTCTTCAAGGCATAGTTTCTGTCCTGATAGGATTCTGGAAGAATCCAGGGAGTGTCTGTTGGGATAAACTTTCCGGGTCTCATGGTGCTCGCAGATGTGCAGGGAGTGGTGGTTTCATCAGAGGGTGAGCACAGACCCTCAACCTGTGACTTGCTAAATCAATCTAAAGCCACTGGCTCAGGGTTTTGGGCTGCCGTTCTTATTCAAATAACCAGTCCTCTGAGCGGCTCACAGTTGAAGTTCCTGACCTTGAAGCGGTTGATAAGGTCGTATCTGGTAAACAGTTCATAAATCATAAACTTCAGACTATGCTCGCCGCTCGCTTCATTTAAGGCAAATACGTCAAAAGACCATTTATCAACATCCTGTAGAAAAAGAGTCAATATTTTAGATGACAATAGTGTAATCGCACTGCTTCTCGTGGAAAATTATTTAACAAATTAAGCACTGAATATACAACAGGTAACCCTGCAGTGGAACGTGTCAGACTGCATTCTGCTGGAGTCTGATATGTCAGGGCTGCAGGGGTGAGGCTGACGTGGATAATATAACACCGTGGCTCTTCCTCAATACCAGGGTTATGAAGCTGATGTAATAAACTTGGAAACAGTCTAATGCAGCCTTTGTCTTTGCTCTCTCGGACTTTCTGCAATAAATCATTACCTAGACCTGCTCCATTTTAAGGCAGGAGAGCTGGTGTTTGGGTGATGTCAACTGAGGGATGAAGAGAAAATAGTTCTGGTCTTTGTTGCCATTTAGCCACACACTTTCTTCTTTGCTTGACATTTTAGCATAGAGTCATTAATTTGGCTATTATCTGTCTTCTTTTGGGACTTAAATTCTCGAGGGAAGTAAAGCTTTAGCCTTCCTCGTCTAACCTAGGCTCACTCACTCAGATTCCTTCAGAGACAGTAAGAACAAGAGCTAGATCATTTGACTGAGGAAGGGGTCAGTAATTTTGCTATTTCATACATTTTTGGGGGCACATAGATAGGTTTATAGGGGAACAGGAAACACCATGTAGGTATCCCCTCTGTGGCATTGGGAGCAGTAAGTAGGGCTAACTAGGCCGCCGAGATTACTACACGGTTTTGCTGCAGAAAACCTAAATGAGTACATTATTCTGATCTAATGTAGAACCTGGATGTCAGGAAAGAATGCCTGGTGATGACATGCAATCTCTCTCTCTCTCTCTCTCTCTCTCTCTCTCTCTCTCTCTCTCACACACACACACACACACACACACACACACGCATACATGCGCTTGTGCTAGTAGAGTCAGTATTGGATAGTGTGCAAACAATTTAAAGGAATGGTTAATTTTGTATATGTGGACTCGATGCAGGACCTTTCCCCTTTCTATGAGCATTGCTTTGGGAACCAGCTTCATATGCTGTGAGATGCTGAAACTAAATCAAATCGGACATCTGATGCAGGCTCTGAAAATGTGTCCTGTGAAAGATGATAGTGAAGCCTTCGAATGATACTTTAAAATGCTTTGATGCTTATGTGTGGGGCTCTTCCAGGCTTTCCCATGCATGTGGAGGTCAGAGGACATCTCTGCTTTGTGGAGTTGGTTCTCTCCTTCGATCTTTAAGTGGGTCCCGGGGATTGAACTCAGATCACCAGGCTTTTGGGGAAAACTCCTTTACCCACTGGATCATTTTGCCAGTCTTTTTGAATCATTTAGAATCGTGCGCCAATTAAGTCTTTGTTTACTTGCATGCAACTGTTAAATTTCTCCCAGTTGACTCCAATATGATGCCTAAGCACCCACTGTTATCTCTTTAGGAATTAGAAACCTAAAATTCTTGATAGAAGGAGTTTTAGTATTTACTTTTGAGCTTTACTAAAGCTCAAAAAAAGACAACACATCTTTTATCAAATTCCAAAGCTAACAAGGAGGAGTTGGTTCAGACCTTCAAGGCTTCCTGTTAAGGGTCCCCTTGAGAAAATGGGGGCGGGGCTTGCAGACAAAGGTGATTGACACCTTTCACCTGCCACAGACATTTAGTGCCCATGCAGTCAGACTGCCCTGGGGGAAACGTCTGTGATTGCTTTAGAAAGGAAAGCAAGTGAAATTGCTTCACCTTGAGCGTCAATATGACGGCTGCAGGATATGACAGCCCGACCATGTGGTAGCTCTTCCTGTACATCCTAGGAAAGAGGGGGAAATTGCACCGTTAGCATTCCTTCGCTCAACACCTTCAGCTGTGTTTCTCAAAAACCAAGGAAAGACAACTCTAGATGTCTTTGCCTTGTACCCCCACTGTGTCAAAGGTGATAATAACAGCTGTTGTTTCTCTGGGTGATGGGGCATGGGGCGGGTATGGCTTTATCTACTCATAGGAACTCTGAGAAGTGATCTTGGTTTCGAGGAAAGGGCAGCTATCCCTGAGTTTCATGCAATGACCAGGTCGCCTGTATGTTCCATGTACAATGACACTCTTCACAGGTCACCCCATCTGTGACAGCAGAATATTCCTGTCTGGTGACCATTTGAATACCAACGTCTTTAGATTAGAGGCTGAGTACCCTGAACATGAGATTCATTTATTTATATTTGTTTATTTCTGAATGGTTACTATCAGAGGGAAATAGCACCATCAGAATTTACACAGCTCTTTGTTAAGGATATCATAAAAGGTTATAGTGACAAAAATAAGTCAAGAGAGAAAATATTCTCTCCGGTTCCATAATAATATCAACAGCAGTATATCCTGACTTATTTGTAACTTGTTTGTTTCTGGTAGGGTAGGAAACTGTCTAATAATCAAAATTTAACATTAGGTAGCATCTAGTGAAGAAGGCTCTAACACAGATAAAAGCAACTGGACTTTATCAGGAATGTGAATAATTTGTAACTATTCCCCAATGTACTGGAAAGACATAAACTGTCTCTTACTTTATATATTCAATTGGCACACAAGAAACTGTATTGCTTAGACTATATTGCTGTGATGTCCCCCTTGTAAGGAAAACACTATAATTTGATTAAATGTGATAGAAGTGGTCAATATTAGTTAGTACAGGGAAAGCTGGGTGATGGTGGCATGTGCCTTTAATCCCAGAACTCAGGAGGCAGAGGCAGGTAGATCTCTGAGTTGAAGGCCAACCTGGTATACAAAGGGAGTTCCTGCACAGCAAAGGCCAGACAGACAAACTGTATCTTGAAAAGAAGAAGAAGAAGAAGGAGGAGGAGGAGGAGGAGGAGGAGGAGGAGGAGGAGGAGGAGGAGGAGGAGGAGAGGGAGAGAGAGAGAAGGAGAAGAAAAGGAAGGAAACAGGTGGAAAATATTCTACCATCTTTTAAAAATAAAAATTGCTGAGGGCACATCAAAGTATTTTTGAATCTGTGGTCTATGAATTAAAAATCCAGAAAACACAATTTTAAAAATAATAGTAAAAAAACCAAGTAATTTGTTGTGATTTCTTTTTAAATAATGACTTCATAGAGCTCAGAAATGAATTGAGTTTAACTTCTCAAAAGGGAGCCCCCTCCTGCACCCCGCTTCAGCACAGAAACTCAACTCTTCACTTTTTCCTGTTTCAATTTCAAGTTCTCTTCCAGTCTCGGAGGGATTTTCAGATGGGGCGATCAGTCCAGCAGCAGACTTCTTTACTAAAGCCTTCAGGAGGGTTTCCAAGAAAACAGCTTTTATTAATTACCCCCTGGAGCTAAGTATTATACTCCAGCCCTGTAGAGCAAGGAAGGTACTTAGCACACAATAAGGGTTCAGAGAGTGCTGACTGTTCCTTGTGGATTCTGAGGAAAGTCTTTATCCACCTATCTTTCCTATGACTGTCATGAAGAAAAGAGTGATGGGTTGGGAAGGAGCAATGATCAGGGAAGTGATCAACACAATAAGGACCCTTAAAGCATTAAATACTATGGGATCAGTGTGATTTCCTGGCACAGGAGGGAAGGGGGCTGGGAAGGATAGAGAACCCATGCCTTGAATCCTTGGTTAGCTGCTTGGTAGCTATGTGGCATTTGGAACAGTCTTTAATAGTTCATTTTTAAAAGGAGAATCCCAAGCTTTCTGTGAAGACTAAAGAAATAAATGCTGGGTACAATCTAGTACCGAGGTTCTTTGACTTGGAAATTGGCTTTGAATGTGAGCATAATTTACAATATGGAATGAAAAGAGGCAAGGATGATTGACCTCTAAAAGCAATTTTTAAAAATTTCCAAAAATTTTTTTTAAAGTTCTGTATCATGTTAGCCTTCCTGTCCTATCATCAGGGACATATCATCTAATATATCATCTAATATATCATCTAATATATCATCAATATAAAATTTAAAATTTTATATTAGAGCAAATCAGACAGAAAAGCAACACAAGTGCTCCAGAAATCCGAGGGGTTGCAGCCATCTTCATCAACGGCCTTCCGTCTCATTAAACAAGTCGTGTGCCGTGCATGCAGGAAAAAGACTAAGGAGTTTCCCGGAATCCAACAGGTGCTGAAGTCCAGGGGAAACTCTAAGCGATTACTTTAGAAGGCTTCTCTAAAACTATGAGATATAATTCTAAACCTTTAAAGAAACCAAAACACTACTGCTATTCTCATCGCTGTCCAAGGTAACATGTGGACAATTGCCAGCACCTGCTGAGTCTTGGGAGAGCAACTTCACAGGAGAAACAAGGGGACTTCTATTTCCATATTGAAAATAGTAACTTTTGAAAAATTCAAGATAAACGATATCAATAATGGGGTGTTGATATTGATAGATCAAGATTTTCCTTCTACGTTCTTCAAGCATGCTAATTTACAATAGTCAAACTTTTATTTTAGTTACCTTATGCGTGCTTTGAAATTTCTGTTTAGAAAGGAAGCTTGATTTGTATGGTATTTCATAAGAAAAAAGATAGAAACTTACCAGGTCAATGCTTGAATCCGAATGCATAGCCTTGTCTCAATGCATGCACATTCGGTTGGCTCTCATCCATACTTTGCTTTGCCTTTCCACTTGCAAAATTTTTAACAAGGAAGAGAACTTATATTCCCACAGCAAGCCAAGCATGGGGCTTCACCTGAGACTCTGCAACACTGCTTAGATGTTTTTAATTTGATGCCATGGGATATCAATAACCCTCATATGAAAGGACACTCTCCTCAGCCCAGCATCCTGGCTTCAGACTTCTGTCACTAACTAGAATTTCTTTAGTTTTCTTTTAAGTTTTTAGTTGTTGGTGTTTTTTTTTAAGCCAATCAGATGGGGCTGAGAAGCTAGTGAGGGAATTTGGATAATAACTCACTAGATGAGCTTTTAGGGTGTATCTTCCTGAAATAAGCTTTGGAAAGTGTTGTCATCATGGTCCCAACACATCTTTAAACTGAATTTGCAATAGGATTCTTTTATGCTTTCCCACTTACATTTTGAAAATCAAGTATCTTTTCCATCTTTTTTTTTTTTTTTTTTGGCTGGAAACGAGGCTTCAAAATATTGAAAGATAAAAACAGTGACCAGAATTCACCTTAATGTAAAGGGTGCTGAAGCTGAGCTTGGTGACATAAGCCTGTAGTCCTAGCTCTTCAGAAACTTGAGCCAGGAGAGTTGAAAATTCAAGGCCAGCCTGACCTAAACAGACACTGTCTCAAAAACAGTGCCCTGCGAATCTCTGTGAGTTAGGGGCTAGCCTGTTCTACAAGAGCTAGTTCCAGGATAGGCTCCAAAACGACAGAAAAATCTTGTCTCAGAAAAACAAAACAAAACAGAACAACAACAACAAAAAACCCAAAAAACAAACAAACAAACAACAAAAAACAATGCCCTGATGTGTAATAATTGCCCATCCTTCAATTTGGTGAGTTTCAAAAACATTTAAATTGCCACTTTACATATAATTAAACACATTACTTATTAACATGAGAAATTCCTGATAAATGCTTCTCAGTTTTGCCAGATGTGGTTATACTCAGTCATTCTGAAACATCTCATTTCAAAGAAAGAAAAGTTAGTCTTTTCTCTTAATGATTAAAAAACATTTGAAACTTGGCCCTATGAATACGTGCAAATGCTGGAAACTCTGGTGACCTCTGTGATATGGGGACCTTCTTTCCGTGACACTAACGCCTGAGTCCTCCAAAGTGGAAGTGAGAGAGATGTCATCTCACTATGGAAACAGGAAGAGGGAAGTCTTTTCAATTTAGGACAAAAAAAAAAAAAAAAAAGACTCATTTGACTTTGAAATAAAGATTACTGCCCATTATAGGATTCATTTTATGGGTTATTGTAATTTGTTCGTATGAAATTGAATGATAAGCTGTGAACATATTAGGATTGTTTGTAAACGGTTATCTACAAAGATGTCTTTCCAGTGGGGTATGATATCAGTCTCCCTGTCAGCCTACTAGAAAAAAGAAAAGACATCTAGACAAGGTGCTTTTGTTGTGGCCGTATCGGTCACAAGTGCAAACTGTCCTGTCCAGTTAGACTTGGGACGGTAAGTGTCCTCCGGGGACGGTGTAGGAGGAGCCCTCAGGATTTCTATTTACCAAACACGCTTGCTGCCCCTTTGGATTCTCTTTCCTTGGGACGCAAACCACGCGGCTTACCTTTCCACAAAAATACCAGCCTGAACAGCGTGGACGATGCTTCGAAACTTGGGTTTTTCCTCGGGTTTCTTCTTCATCATCCCCATTTTCCGCGTAAAGGTAGAAGCCAACCAGTCCCGGACTTCCGATGGGACTGAGTCGGTCTGAATGTCGCTGAGCTCATCCTCGGGGTCAAGAAGTCTTCTACAAACACACGTAGAGGTAAACGCTGGGAAAGGGGAGCAAAGACTAACAAGGAAACATGCATCGCAATGTTTTCGCTCTTTCTCTGTTTCTTAACGTGAACTGTTTAAAAGAACGGAGTTAACATTTGGGAAGCTGCCGGGTTTTCAAGTTGGTCCCTTGCTGGAGGCAGGAAACGGTACATGATCGCATCTGCGGCTCCCCAAATACTGAAGGACAGTATTAGCAGGGGTCTGTCAGTCTCATTAATATGCCATTCTAATGGTGATTAAAACAGAGAAAGACAGGAAAGAAAATTCATAAGTGTGCGTTACTGAGAGAAAGCAGAATGGGAAGAAAGGTTGGGGCTATCACAACTCACTTAATTTTTCTGCATAGTTCAGTCAGCAAGTGCTATTTGAATTTTTCGATAGTTCCAAACGTCATGCATTCATGCTTTTTCACTGAATAAGATCTTCTAAATTAATGAAATAATTCTAAAAAAGCTGAGCGATGGTGGCACATGCCTTTAATCCCAGCACTCGGGAGGCAGAGGAAGACAGATCTCTGAGTTCAAAGCCAGCCTGGTCTACAAGAGCTAGTTCCAGGACAGCCAGGGCTGTTAAGCAGAGAAATCCTGTCTCAGGAAAGAAAAAAAAGAATTCTAAAATAATCTTTCTAACACTATATTTACAGATTAAGAACTCTAAGGGAAGAAACAAGGTCAGGGAGACGGCTCAGCGGGTAAAGGACTTGCCATGAAAGACTGAAGACCCAAGTGCAATCCCAGAACCCATGCAGAGAGAAAACAGACTCTTGAAGACTGTCTCGAGACTGACCTTCGTGTGTATACTGTAGCATCCATGCACGCGCACACACACACATACACACATCATATACACTCATCTGAGCAATAATAAATCAAATTTTAAAATAAAGAAAAATAGTTGGAGTTCTCTCTTAGTATCTCCGTGGGAATTAAGGACGCTCTCTTTCCCCTAGGATGCCCAGATCCTCATATGCTCATGCCCCATCCATAAAAAATCAGCCACTTTGCATACAACCTATGTGCTCTCTCATGATTACCTTGAATAAGTTCTCCATTTCATATAATACCGATACAATGTACATGCCCCCCCCACACACACAAACACACGCATGTGTTATTTAGGGAAGAATAAAAAAAAAAAAAGATTGCACACTTTCAGTCCAGACGCAATTTCTTCTTCTGAGTACTTTCAGTCCGAGTTGTTTAACCCACAGCTATGGTGTGCAAGGCCGCCAAGAGCTATGTTGAAAGCTCATTCCAGGAGTCTAGCCTCTAAGTGGGTGGATCACTGTCAGTAAAGACCCAATTTTAACATAAGGGTGAAAATTTCACAGGTTTGGAACTTGTGATCGGGAACCAAGTGTCGCAGTACTTCAGACACTAAGGCTCCTCCTGATGGCAAGGCTGAGGCCCACCTGGACCAGCTTGAGATGAAATCTTGTCTCTACAAAGTCAAAACAACATAGAGGACTGTGGGCCCAGGACGTCAACACAGTGTTAAGGAGAAGTGCAAACTGAGTTCTGGGAAGTGGCATGGACCGGTTGATACGAAGCCGTGGCTGCCACAGAGGAGGGAGCTGAGGCAGCATTCTGACTGAAAGCCTGCCAGGGTCTGTAACTGAGAGTTACTAACAACTCGAACTGGAAATAATAAATGCAAGTTTTCCCACTAGATAGAAAGCGAGATACACAGACCAGTCTGTTTCGTTCGTCCACAGAACTCAAAGTAGCTTCGTTTTCTTGACAGGGCAGCAGATCAATAACCAGATATCCTTGGCATAGTTTATCTCTGACCTTACGCTCTAAATCAGCACGATCCTTTAAATGGTCCCCCTCTGTGTGTTGCTCCCTTCTGCACACATACACAATACTTATTTTTCATGATGTTCATAAATACAAATGCATTTATGAAACAGTAAAAATAAACACTAAAGTGCTGGAGTTACAAAACTACTTGTACAGATAAGACAAAAGACATTCAGTCGAATATTCATGCTGATCAATACTCACATGGTAATTTTTTTAACCTTATTTTGCTTCTTGTGCTTGAAGGAGTTTGATTTAGTACTAGACCACTGATACTGTAATTCAAAGTAAAATTTTTTTACAGCTCTTTTGCCCATTTCAAGGCAGATTCCTTAGCCCATCTTAGCATGGTATTTTGATACATGCCTTGAAATTTTCATTACTTAAAAACTATGCCATTTCTATTATCTCTTATGCAGTGATCAGCTAAGGTTACAGAGCAGGGCAGCTGGGACAGGGACCATTGTGGTGTCATCGCATGATGTCACCGTTCTTCACATTCTTGCCTCCCAGTTCTTACCAGAGGGCTGGGACAGAATGCCAGCCGGATGGTAACCATTGCCCAGTTTTTCCACCACACACTTGTACTGGGGACTTGAAGGCTGCATATTCTAAACTCACAAACTTCCCAAGACAGAAGGCTAAAGAAGACAAACGTAATAAGCGTGACTGGGGTGTGTTACTCAGAATTCTGGCGATTTGTAGTTATGATGCATGTAAATTTTCTTTGTGAAAGAGCTTGTGATTTCAGGGGAAATAATGATCTTTATTTGTTATAGAATAAAGGAATAAAGGAAAGGAGCGTCAAAAGAGAAAAGCAGGGAATCCACCATTGTCTACCAAAAAGGCACATCTTGAAACAGCAACAGATACTTCTCCAGGGATCCAGTTGGTAAGACAGTGGGGATAGGATGCCTAGCCCTGTGTTTAAGTGATGAGTTAGATGTTTCTACAAAGGTCTGCTTTTTTAATGTGAAGAGGGAGCAAAGTAAATTACCCTTCAAAATATGCACAGGCCTCATCAAATCAGTTGAAGGCCTTAAAGAAAAAGATGAGTTATCTTAAGGAGAAAACTCTGAGTTGGAATAACACCTAGATTCAAGACTACAACATTCATTTTCTATAAATTTCAGCTTGCTAGGCAGCCTTGCTGATCGTCAGTTAGCTCTTAAAACTCACTTCTCTGCCTCTCTACTGTATGAACAGTGTGGACTAACTACCTGTGTAAATTAGTCAGATACAGGTAAGGGCTTGCCCCTATATTGATTTCTGAGAGCATATTGTTTCTTTATCTGCTTTTAATATATAAATAAAATCCTATCTAAATTAGGCATTTAAACACCATATTCTTGAGACATATCAACACTATTGTTAGCCTATAAAATGATGAAAAATTGAAAACTTCTGGGAATGATGTTGCAAACTTTTAATCCCAGCACTCAGGAGGCAAAGGCAGGTGGTTGTAAGTGAGTTCAAGGCCAGCCTGCTCTACAGAGTGAGTTTCAGGTGAAGCAGGGCTGTATAGGAAGATCTTGTCTCGAAAGAACATTTTTTTTTTTTGAAAATGCAGCGTGGTCCTTCTTTGTATGAGATATAAGTATGACAGGAAACACTGCTTTGGATAGAGTCATCAGGAGTTGTGTCATTTAAGACCCAAAGAAAGAAAAAGAATTAAAGGTTGGAAAAGTCTAAGAAAAAGTCATTCTACAGAGATGGAAGAACAAATGCAAGTCCCCTGGGAGAGGCAGGATAAGAGAAATGTTTGAGAACAGAGAGAAGGCCAAAGGTGGCTAATGGGTACTAGAAGAAGAGGGTGGAATTTCCAGGAAGAGCTAACAAATACCTTCCTGTCTCTGCCCTAAGTCCTTCAACCCTGCCAACACTACGCCCCTTTTCTTCTTTATCCTACCAGTCCGTTCCTTCCCATCTTTATCTTTGTAGTCATAGAACATTCAAGAATGCTGGGGTAGAGGGAAGCACTAAGATGAAGATTATAGCAGAGTAAAACAGGAGGGCCTTGCATGCTGGGGTCAGGGGCTGTAAACACGCAGGAATACAACTAACGGCATCTGCTTCTCACTCCCAGCTTTCTTCAACCCGTGTCTTCTCTCTTCTTGCAGTCTCCCTGGTGTTCACTTCCTCTTAGCACCACTCAGGGTAATCTGATGTTTATCTGATCAATCATAATATAATATGGACTAACATCATTGGACTTTTGTGGACAGAGAGTTATCATAAACACTTTTCAGATGTGGAAATATCTGAATATTTGCAGAAGGTTATGTCACCAAAAACACAATACCTTGCACTTTGTTTACCTTTCATTCTCTTCACTTCTAACATAAACTTGTACAAAGAGAGGTTGTTAAAATAGGTTGCTAAAATTTTTATAATTTAGTTTGGTCCAAATATCAAGGGTTTGATTATCCTTTATCTTACAGTCAGAAGGCAATGTGAACATAAATATTTGCCCTGTGAGAGTTGTTAAGAAGTGAGTCTTCCTGTTTTAGAAGCAGGCAGTGTGAAAATATAACTATTGATGTATTTTCCTTAAGAATCCATAAAGTGTGCTATACAGGGAAGAAATGATAGAGCACATATATGTAACATGCTACCACTGTTGACCTCTAAAAAATGTTTCGCTCTTTGACACGATGGTTTTAATCCCAATGAGAGTCAGCAAAGATTAAAGAGAGGTTCTCAGACAAGGGTACCAGAGAATGAGAAAAACTGACCTTGCATCTGATCAGTGATCAAGTGAGTCTTTGGAGCTATTTATAGGCCAAAATTTCTCTCCAAATAAGATGACACATCTCCCAGAGGACTTATAATTTGGACTAGAAAGTTTGCGGGAAAAGGGAAATAAAGGAGAAGGCAGCCTCGGAAGGAGAGGTCATGGGATTTTGACTCTTAAAATTGTGTGTCAGTGAAAACATTTCTGTCTGCAGTGGGCTCTTGGAAAACAGGCACACCCAGGGAGACACAGCCCTTTCCAGGAAGTTGGTGGCCAGGGTTAAACTTAAATATTACGATTCAAAAGCTGGGTGAGATGGGGGGGGGTGCTATTTGTATGATAAAACGTTTAGTTCAAGAAGTAATTAACTCGTCCATTTTACCCCTAACGTCTGATGAGCCCAGAGCAGGAACACAGTTCTCTACAGAAGACAGAATCACTATTTTGATGTTATTTC